TGGGGAACCCCTATTATTTACTATATATACCCATTATGGTAACTTAATTTAAGTTCCTTAACAGCAATCCAGACTCTCCCTGAGCGTTTCCAGCATGGATCGGAAGGCTCCATGGGATTGCTCGTCCATGTCCCTGTCTGCCTGAAAATGAAGCAGCACAGTATCACTGTAGCTCCCTTAGACCTCTGATCAACACAGTGTTTTTAATACTTCCTTAGGGTTGTACTAATTATAACGAATAGCAATGGAATAATTCCTCAGAAGACTACTATTAAGGGTCCTGACATGGATGAATTTCAGCCTCTGCGGCCTGGAAGGCAGCTTGGTGCTGCGGGGAGTAAACTGACCGAATGCATTCCACGAAGCTGAGAAGATCATCAAACATCCTCTGAGCTACAGTCTCAACTCCTTAAAGGGGGTTTTATGGGAAATTATATAGGGGAGCATGATGGGGCTTGTTAAGGGAAATACTGGGAGTTTCGACTACAGCTCCTCTGGTGCCACCAGACGAAACCCCAGAGCTGAATCCAGCTGCGGTGTCGCTTGGAGATGGGAACGTGCAGGTACCGGCACTTGGGCTTGAAGCAGCCTGCAGGGGTCTGGGCCGCCCAGCAGACGCTGGTCATTTGCAACGGCACGCTGTTGCTGACGGCCTTTACGTCCCTCTCACCCATGTGCGAGGACTTCAGGATCTCCCGCAGCTGGCGGATGCTCTCAGCAGCTGAGGTGTGGTGGACGAAAATCCCCCCACGTGCCTCCCAGGCCTCGCGCAAATCTCCGCGATCATCAATCAGCACGCAGCCCTGGCCGCTGAACTTCTGCTTATTTCGGGTACCACAACAGTAGACCGCCACCTCCGAGCCCAACTTCTCTTTGCACCACTGCTCCTTTTGCTTTGCCGCCATCTGTCCTGCCCGGCCCATCGGGAGACCTGTGAGCACTGCTGGTGTGGGGACGATATTCCAGTCAATCCACCTCCAGAGCTCCTCGCCATCAGGGGTCCAATCAAGGGATAAGAAGAAGTCAGGCTTCTCCTCAATGCGACGCCACATCTCCCCCTCTTCCTCCCAGGTAAGTTTCGTGACTGTGTGGGTTGGTATCTTGGCTGCAATTGCACCACCCTCAGGAAAAAGCGCAAGGCAGCCCTTGTTGAAGTCTGCCAGCACCCCATCCAAGTCGCAGTAAACCTGCAAGTGCTTCGGAGCCGCCTCGCAAGAAAGCTTGATCCAGGAATCCCACAATCCACCCTCGACTGCTACCCAGATAAACATTCACAAAAACACTGGTCCCACTTATACACCTGCAAATAGGACCGTCGATATGGTTCTGCATTTTGAAAACTTTACGATGAGCCTCTGTCTTCGGCACATCCACCGGCCGATACGGGCCACAAAGGTGGGGTGAGTGTAAGCCTGCCTGAAAGCGCGGCACATGGGAGGCGAAAGCCATCCTGAATGCATGGCGCTGGCCATGGGGTCTAGGAGACAAAGCCTTGTCATGGGGTTGCTGTGAATCTTGGCACCAGTCACTAATCATATCATCCTGCTTTGGTGCAAGATGGTGTGGGATGCAGTGCCCAAACGTCTGATGCTGAATTCAACGCCGAAAAGACGCACAGCCCTTTCATGCATGACAGTGGCAGCTAGAAGCGTGAAACGCGTATCAGAGCAAAGTGATGAAGTCAATAAGTCTAGAAGCAAACTGATCCTCCAACAGTCCTCCGTTCAGAAGGGGAAGGAGAAGTAAAGCAAAAGGTCGCCAAAATTGAAGTCCCATGTTGAAGCCCCAAAAGATTCGGTGCTGCTTTGTCACCGTAACCAAGTAATTGAGTGCTCGGACTGTTGAGAATGGCCAGCGTTGGTGTACTGATGAGGCATGCACACACGCAGACACATGGCACAGCCGTCTGCCGAGTGAAGCAATCTCATTAGGCTCAGGCAGCTTGACATTAGTCTATCTGGATTGTACAGTAAAACCGTCTGGCATTGAGCAGAGGAAGTCCACAGCCGCGCCACGTTTTTGGGCACTAACTGGGGTCGAATTGAAGCCAGAGGGTCGCACTAAATCACACAACTTCCTCTAGCTACTCTTCCACTGAGTGTACTTTCTTGTCCTGGCTCCCAGACGCAGGGACTGCCTCTATGTAAAATGATGCTAAAACGTGAGGGCTCTGAAAGATCTACTTGAGCGGGCCAATGCTGCTGGCTGAGGCTTCGCCCAGCCAGCCGCATGTAACTGCAGCTGGACTTAACGGAATGAGAACAAAAGTTTTAACTTCCAGCTGCGCGTATCCTGTCAAATGGCATTCAACCCGTTCAGACCACGACCTCAGCCAATCTTCTGTGTGCGAACGCCATCCTCAGAGATTGTGAGGGACTGTGGATGCTTGCGACACCCGAAGGATCCATGTGACCATATAGCATAAACTTGGAAACCCCGTCAGGCCCAAAGTATGCACTGGGCACTGCCATGGCAGCAGCAGGCACAGCGACAAACCATTGAGGTAATCTGAAGTGCTTTTAAGGAAGTTAATTCAAGGTACTATGTTGGGGAAAGTATACTATTTACTATATATACGCGTTATGCTAACTTAAACCAAGTTCCTCAACAGCAACCCAGTAATGGGAGTTTTGACTTTATGGTTTGCAACACATGGCTGCAGAGTTGAAGGATTGGGGTTTAAGGGTTTGTGGTTATAGGGCTTTGGATTTAAGAGTTTAGGTTTAAGAGTCTAGGATTCAAGGGTTTAGGGTTTAAGAGTTTAGGCTCAAGGGTTTAGGGTTTAGGAGTTCGCCGCGCGGGCATACTGATGCTTGCTGCAGCAGCGGGGATGGCAAGAACCAGCATTTCATTACTCTATATGGGGTTTCCCAAAAATCTGGATACCTTTGTGGGTCCCTATAATAAGGACTATAATATTTTGAGGTCTGTATTGGGGTCCCCCTATTTTGGGAAATTACCATTACTACTCTGGTAAGCTAGAACGTTGCAGCTACAATTGAAAATTCTTGTTTGGCTCGTCTTTGGGGTGGGGTACCGAGGGTTCGGTGGGTAGAAAAGTGGGTCGACATCCAAATCTAAACCTGATCTAATCCCCATACTATTCCTACAGTCACCACCAACCAACTGCGCCTCCTTCGCTCCAGGTCGCCAGTGTGTACAACGTGTACCAGTGTACCATTACAAGGCGCCACAGGACCCCCATTAAAAGGGGTCCCTTGTTCTATTGGGGTTATATTGTTGTTGAACGCAGCTCGAGCGTGCTCTGAACTTGGCGGGCGCATAACCTGAAAGTTGCAGACGTGCCGTAAGCCAGCGCCGCCTGAAAAGAACAGATCTGTCTACGCACGTAGAGAAGGAAAATGAATTGCCTACGTGCAACAAATTGATAGAAGAAAGAACTGAGACCCGAAAGCTTGGCACAACAGCTGTCTGTACATTGCAATGCCTAGCTAGCAGCTAGCACTTGCGTCAAGAGAATAACTCTTTGGCGAAACGCCTCTTTGAGGACTATGACGACAAGCGGTCGGAAAGCACAAAACGGTGGGACCCGCTCCGTGTCCCAAGAACACGTCTGACCTTTATGCGGGGAGGAGGCGCCCTCTTGTAGAGTGACTACCTCTTCCCGCACCAACGGCACCCTGCAGAAGCAGAGTTGTACATTGAGCCGGGCCGGACATCCCGCCAGCATGCATGTTCCCAACCTCGAACTCCCTGCCAAGAAGTGTTACTGTCCTCTATTTTACAATCCAAACACACGAAGCCTGTACAAAAGCACCGATGCTCACAAGTACAAAGGCCGTCACTCCTAGCACTGCCTGACCCCTTCGGTAACAGGACAGTAACGACCACAACTGGGAGGGCCGTAGCCGAAGCCCGCCACCCTTAGCACAGCAACCGCGTCCGCATTTTGACTGTACCCAGCTGCACCGTGGAGCCGTACCTGGAAAGCCACGTGTCTGGAACGAAGGCACTCGCCATGGCTTCTTCAGCAGAGACTCAGCGTCACGAACCAAAGTTTGCCTGCAGCAAACCCTGCCCTCGTTGTACAGCCAAGACCCACGAAGCCTGTGCTGAGGCACCACTGTTGACCACTCACAAAGGCCGTCACACTCAGCAGAGGTAGTCCGTCGTCCTGGGGCAATGCCGCTTTCTTCTTGGGCAATGCCCCGCACACAGCTTTATGTCATGCAATCCATGTGGCTGGTGACGTGACAGCATCCGCCGAAGTATGCGTCCGCAGAAGCAGCCGCCGTAGCTGAATGCAGCTACAAAACTGTTCCTTGATGCCCGATGTGCGACAGGTCCACCTGTAACCATAAAAACGTAGGCTGGAGAAAAACACTGAGTTGGCGTAGACGCGCCGTCCGCTATTGTCGCAACTACAAGAGTTGCTCTCTTCACCCCGCGGAAGGTGAATACCCTACCACTTACCACCAGAGAGAGCGTGATCACCAACAGGAGGCCCGGGAATTGGGACCCGGCAGCTGACGGCAGAGCGGCTCAGGCAGCTATGGCTCAGACAGAACGCGTAACCTTTATGTTTCAAAGGAGCCTGTTCAGAGCCTCTAGCGGAAAAGGAGCCTTGGCCTGAAGATCGAATGCTTCAAGCTGCTGTCAGCCGTAGTGGCTGGGGTTATATTGGGATAATGGAAAAGACAATGGAAACTACTATAGGATGATAAGGTGTATATGGGGTTTTATTACTAATACATTATTGCATCTTCAGCCCTACCTTGTCTGAGCCATGGGAAGGCGAGGAGGTGTAATGTTGGTTACACGCGTAAAGGATTTACACTCTCGATGAGACTGGTAGGAAGGCCTGGAGAATGGCTTATCGTGCGGATGAGTTGCGCAGCATCCTTCATGATTTCCTTCTCTGCTGTCGCCCTCTCCTTCGCGTCCTGGCTTGGGTTGTGGCTTTATTGAGGCTTAGCTTCAGCGCATGCTCGTTGGCTTTCAAAGGCTGAGGATGATTACTTGTGCCCACGGGGGGGGACGAAAGCTTAAAGCAGGGTGCAAATTGGCACGTGCATTTTTTCATGAAGCGGAGAACAGCTTCCACCTGTTCGGATACGGTACCCGGTATCAGAAACAGAATGCATTAGCAATATAAGCCCATATATACCGTATCATACCATAGTAGTTTCCATGTTCTTTTCCATTATCCCTATATAACCCCAATATAAAAAGGGCCCCCCTGTTAATGCCACTTTCGGTGCCTACCAGGCCACCCTCCTGGTGGGGTCTGGCCCCGGAAACGCAATCAAATTTGACCATTTTTCGATCTTTCCATGTCTTTCCCCTCCACCACACCACTTTGTACAGATCAGCATAGCTGGGTTCAAAATGGAAGCTTGGGAAAGCTTTCGCAATTATTCTTGTGCATGCTTTATTCTTGTTGCTGCACCAAAACTCCTGCCTTGTAGTCCATGTAGTGGTCGACACTGACAATCTCCTCATCACCATCCCTTGGTGATGCAGGCTGATCATCATGATACAGCAGAAATGACAAGATGAATAGATGATTGTAACCGCTACGATGATGATCACCATCTCAAGGGTTCTAGGGTTGTACCCCTAAGGCTCTACCCCTAAAAGGTTTCCACGAACATGGCCTGAATATAGCCCTTATATGAGCTAATGTAGCCTTGAAGGGTCCCTTAAAAGGATCCCAAAGCCCAAAAGTACAACCCTGGAGGTACAAGCCTGAAACCCCTGATCATCGTCATCGCCCGCATCATCACGTTTGTCTATCCACCATCATTCATCAAGCGGGATCTCCAGGTCCCTGTATAACATGTGAGGCCCCACAACAAATAACGTGTGGAACTGAAAAGCTCCCGTCTCAGCCATGCAATTTGCAGAAGAGGAGGGCCAGTCCAGCGCAAGCCCCGCTAATAAAAAGCATGCCACTTGGATTCATGATCCTGTGCCCAGGAGCCAGAGCAAGTTCTTGTGGATGAAAAGGTACGAGACCGGTGAACCATCCAAGTTGTCCTCAAAGAATGAGCGGCTGTGTAGAATCATGCATAATAATTCCATGAAGAGTAAACCCTTTCCGCAAAATGGCACACTGCTCCAAAAAAGGGAGTCCTCTCCGTTCAAAAGGTTTTACATGGGGTTCGATGTCAGTTTGTGGATGGTACTGTTGTACTTGACTAGCCATGGACTCAAGCCTAAACCCTATACAGGGCTTTTCAGAAATTCAGGGTACCTTCTCGAAAGCTACGAAAATTCGGTGTATCTAAGAGGCAGCTCGTGTTTGGAGGCACCCATACCAGAATCACCAAATCCCTCTGTTTTGCGGGCGGTCCCTGCAGTCTCCCAAAGACTCCATGGCGCCTAGCCGTCTCATGCCATCAATGTCCATCCTATGCTGGCTTCAGCATTTGGGGTACAGAGATTGGGTGTGGGGTTCTAGGGTCTTTAGGGTTTTGTTGCAAAGGGGCCGAGGGAGGGATCTAACCCTCATCTGCTGAGTCAGATGAAACTTTAGCTTGGAAATGTCGTGATTACGAAGGATCCATTATTGTATATTAGTCCCACTTAGGTTTCTGCTAGAAACTCCCTTCTCCAAAGCTATAGGCAGGCCATTGCCTTGTTAAAAAGAAAAAAGCCGATTGGGCTCATTCGGGTTCAGCTTGCATACCAGGCTACAGTCTAGACGAAGGAAACAAACATCTTGCAGGAAGAGCCCAGCTTCTTCTTCTCTTGCCAATGCATTCCCAAGAATTGCACGGTGTGCATCTTGAAAACCTTGCTGAGATCGCCACTGTTGACCTGCAAAGGTTGTCTGACTTGGAGTTTGAAGTCTACGTCGGGAAGGTCACATGAGCTACCATCAAGATTTCCTGGTATAATTCATGGACATGGATCCCCTATTCGGGGCTACATTAGGGACTATACTAAACTACAAGAAGGACCCCTCTGTCACTTTTAAGGTTCCATTACCGAGGCTAATTCTGACAGTAGCTCATGTGAGTTCAGCATGTCGAATGCACAGCTGGCTTAGCTCGTACGAAGAACCTTGCCAAAAGCTGCAACAACATGGAACAGCCCACACCACAGTGGACCGCACCTCAGTCATGCGCTGGAGGCATGTCGCGGGATCTCCCTGGCCAAGCCAGATAAGCTGGCCCAGGTTCTTCTGCAACACCTGCATGACAACACCGTAGGTTGCAATCTTCCCTTTGGTCATCCCAACGACGTCCGGCTCGCAGATGGTTGCTGGCACGCAGTTCGCCGCAAGCTGGTTGAGTGGGGCAATCTTGTCCTCGAAAACCATCACGTACTGACAGTCGGGGTCCCCATTCTTGCTATAATCTTTCACCACATGGCAGCCCGTCTCTTGGTTCAACTGCGCTTCCAGCACGTCGGCGGTGGCCCCGTAGATATCGTTCGTGTTGACAGCAGTCTGTGCCAGAAGAGCGTCTCCTGATTGCAAGACAGAATGCTTCAATAGCTTTGCAGCTCAACACGGGCAGCAAGCGCATACAATGCGTAGCAAACCAGCAGAAACATGTACCACGTCGGAATCACACGGAAATTAGGCCAACAGAAATGGTAGTCGTAGTACTGCGCTCGCAGGTTTCTGAAGGCCGAGATACAAGTAGGGTCCCAGTATGATTAGCATTCTACTTCGGGAAGCCACAAAGAGTTCCGTAAATGTTTCACAAAAACAGGGGCGTCTCTCAAAATACCCCGAATGTGATGCTGAACCTAGATCAGCATGGGGGTTCTGAGATGCGCGAAGTTTGGTCGAAATTATTCAACGACCTCGTGTTCTCTTTTGAATGCTCCTTCGTGCAAAGTTCCGTGGCCGATGATTTTTCTGGTGGCGAGCTTCTGGATTTTAAATCAAAACTCCTTTACCTGAGCTACCGACCTGGTCCTACTGACTTCCATATGAGCTAGAGTCTAAACTCCTAGTATCCCCCTTAATAACCCCTATAGTAGTCCCCTATATAATCCCCTATAAAACCCCCTTTAACGAGTTTAGACTATAGCTCATACAAAAGCGACAGTCCAAATTTGTTGGCGGTACGGGATCCAACTTTGTTGGGGTTGTCTAGTACATCAATCAGGATCCAACCCAAAACAAAACACGATCCACTCATCATTATACCCCTCTACCCCTTAGACTCCTCAAGCTATCCCTTTCTCATAGGTTGTCCTGTTATATGCTAAATCTGGACCAGGGACCTTTGGCCACACCACAGCATCCGCCGATGAGCTGGATCTTGCCAAACAATTGGTTGGTGTGCCTGAGGCCCATGCTAGACTTGGAGTTCTCCTGAAATGAATTTCTAAACCCTAAGCCGGAATAGGGTGATCCACTCTCGATTTTCGCACTTTGCGGGCCCTGTGCGCTGCAGGGAGGCGGGTTGAAATGCACACCTATTCAAAGCGAGTTAACAGTAGTAGTAGTAGTAGTAGTAGTAGAAAGGGAGAATCATAGTCATAGTCATAGTAGTAGTAGTAGTAGCAGTAGTACTGGCAATAATAATAGTAATAGTCATATTCGGAATAGTCATAGTAATAGCAAAATTAATAATAACCATAATAATGAAGAGCCAAGGATCTGCTGCCTTTGGATTTCGTCCTGCGCAGGCAGGTTGGGGTTTCCCAAAAGTAGGGGTACCTTTTTCGGGGTCTATAGGGATTCTACAGGGGATATATTGGGGTTATAATAGGAATCCTAGGGGATATATAGGGGTATAGAGGAATTTATAGGGTCTAGGGATTAGGGCTTCTCAAATTAGGGATACCCTTTTGGGGGTCCCCATAACAAGGACTGCAGTGTGTTGGGGTCTATATCAGGGTCCTCCTATTTAGGGAACCTTCCAGGTAAGCTGCAGGTAGCGTCAACATGCGGCAACACTTGAGGAGGCGCGCATACAATAATCGCACCCCACAGACACTGAATGCTGTTTGTCCATAGCTGCTCAGGGAGCATCGGTTCTTGCTATCTGTGGAATTTTTGTATGAGACTCTCGTAAACGAATTTCAGCTTGCACTGCTATTTGACAGGCTGTCCTTGAAGGTTGTGCCAACAAGTTCCTGTGGCAGAGTTCATATCCACATTAGAGTAGACGTGGCATGACAAGTGGCAGCTACACGGAGGTGCGGCCTCGGGGCCGATGAAAAAACAATGACCATTCCGGATACTATAGCGTTGGAAGCCAGTGTCAACAGCTGCAAAGATGCAAGTACAAAAAATGGAGAAACAACAACTCAAGCAACCAGCTCACCAGTAGCCAACAAAAGTAACGACAAGATCGACAGTGCCCACAGCGAGCAGGATGGCGAGGGCGGCCACGACATCGATGATCACGACCACGGTGATGCCAACGCCGACGCTGGCGACCAACAACGACGGCTACCATGGCAGAAGGAGGAAAAAAACAAGGAGAGCAGGCAGCAGCAACGGCAGCCAAAGCGGCCAGAAGAAAAAACCGAACTGATTGGTCACAATCTGTTCATCTTTCAAGCCATGGCACATGGCCAGGCACCAAGCCGGCAATGCGCACATATGCTGAAGCCGGGCACAACCTCAGAAATTGGTGCTCATGATACACAAAGTGCAGCATACTCGTGTCACTGGGGCACTGGGGATCGGGTGCAGCGCTCCCTGATTTCCTTGCGTGGCTACTGAGTTAGACCTGGATGGAAAAGCGTTGTGCAAAGTAAATGCTGCCGTGAGCTTGCACAAGGAAGCAAGCACACTTTGAGCCCACGTCAACCCTGGAGAAGAATATCTGTCAAAGCTTTTCCAAAGCAGCCGAATCCACTGCTATGCAATACTTGACTTTGTGGCTTTGTATTACGTTGATGCCCTTGACTCGTGTGTCAGGCTGTTATTACTGTAGCATCAACCCTCGCATAGAAAATGTTTGCGATCCAATTGAAACTTCAACTAAATGTTATTGTGACATTCTAAGCCACAGGACATCCGGATTGACCAAATTGCTTGCTGAGTAGAAAGTTACTATGTTTCACTTTGGGCAACTAGGTTTTTGATGGTCTATAGCCTGATACACCGGTCAGACCCATGAAGTTAATACAAAATCACAGACTGCTGTAAATGGACGTGACCCTGGCTAGTTTGCATACGCCATGACAACCTGCGACGACTAAGCTGCAACTCCAACAGAACGTGATCATGAACCCCCAAGCCCAACACATCCAAAATGACCGAACTGAAACCGCAACAGACCGTTTTGATGACCCCCTCCACACCCCAATACATACCAAAAAAGCATGAAAGATGCAGATGACCTGCGAAACTGCAAGGTCTTCAGCCTCCTCCTACGACTACTACTCCTCTTCCTGCTACTACAACTGCTATACCTCCTACAGCTGCTACTAACAGACATGTGATGTTGAGAAGCTGCAAAACATAACACGAGATAGACACTATTCATGTGTGGAAAAATGGGAAGCGACAAAGAGCTTGAGCTCCGCCGAAATCTTGCGACCCCTTGTTTTGGAACATGAGTAGCCACAAGATTTTACCGCACAGCGTCTTAGAGCATGCGCAACCAAAACAGCTGCAAACTCACTTAAGAAGCCCTGATCCTAGACGAGACAACTCAATTTACAGTAGGTTGAAACCACTTATCCGCAGATAGCACACATCTTAACATACCTCTTTTCACAACGTCCAGTGGATGGAATATCTGAGCAGCGCGGAGATCACACCCATCTCCATATTACATCTGGAAGCTGAAGATGGCAGGCAATCAGAACTCCACAGGAACCATGGCCCAAAGTGCCTAGACCCCAGAGTAGCTTCCGCAGAAAATAAAACTGAGTTGCATCTTGCCTGTGATGCCTCTTGAGCAAATACGAAATCAAGCTACTAGTTATCCGTGCAATGAAGATTGCTGTGCTGCTCTTGTCCTTGAGATATTGTCATGAGATCAAGATATTCGGTTGCTAGTTGCATTGATATAAGGACTGTCCTGTTGTGTTCTTGCCACTGAAGTCAGGATCAGTGCTGGGTGTTTTTTCTCACGAGGGACCAAGTGCCTCTACCACAACCATCTTGGCTCTGATTCCTCATCCTGCTGATGCTAAGTCTAGGCATAGAAGTGAAACTGGTACGGAATGGTCGGAGGAGGCCCAGAAACACCATCGGTACTCGGATTGCACAAGTTGTGGTGAAGTCTAGTAGCTAGCAGTTTCCATTTTCTCTACCATTATCCCTATATAATCCCTATACATTCCCTATATATTCCCTATATAGTGCCAATAATGTAGTAGTTTCCATTTTCTTCTCCATTATCCCTATATCTTCCCTATAGCTGTAGCGGAAGTGCCTTGGCATTATTCACTGTAGCTAGTATACTATAGTATGCCATACTTATGAAAATTTACTATAATACACTATAATATATTATGATATACTATGATATACGATAATATACTAAACGATAATAGACTAGTTTCCGAGGTGGCTGCCGGGTTTGATCCTAAGGCCTTTGCCATGGACAAGGTGTCTACTCTCAGTTTCCCCAACATCGCTTCCAAGCAGCAGTGCAAGCGACAGCGCTCCCAAAAGCTTCATCGTCCTTAGTGGAAGCTATGTGGCTTTGGAGTGGACAGGTGAATCTGCTTCTGAACCCGTATATGGGGGTTTACCAAAATTAGGGGTACCTTTTTGGGGGTTCCCATAATAAGGATCATAGTATATTAGGGTCTATATTGGGGTCCCCCTATTTTGGGAAAGTACCATATAAACCTGGTAAGATCCAGTCTCGCGAGCGAGACCGTGCACGACCCGTTAGGAATCGAAGCAAACTTCAGAATCCTCATCTTTCTACAAGACAGCAAACCAGCTAGGTGCAACGGAACCCTGCTGCTCAGCAAGAACAACTGTGCTGGTGAAGCCTGAGAGAAAGGTGTGATATGCTTCCTCAAGGAAAAACATCGCCAGCAGCCGAACGAAGATTCCCAACATCATGTTTAGTATATTGGGGTAATATTGGGATAATGTAAGTGTGGAGAGCTCCTGGTCTTCAAGCTGCCGCTCTCTGTACCTCTCTGTTTACTAGGGCTAGATTTGGGATACTGGAAAAGAAAATGGAAACTTCTATTTTGCAAAAGGGTATATTTGGGGTTACGTAGGTGTTATTTTTTGGTTAATGGAAAATAAAATGGAAACTACTATTTAGGGCTGCGAAGATTTTCCGGAGCAGGACCTGTGCAGCCTTATCAGCTTTCTGCTGCTGTGTCCATGGACCATAACCAGATGCACACGAGTATACCCGCACCTCATGCCGCGGCAGTCCGAAAATGAACCCTAAAGCCTAAACTACGAAGTCCTGAAGTCGAAGCTTCCAAAAATCAAGCCCAGACCCTACACTCCACACCCAAAGTCCTTCCATCATGCAGTAGAGGGGTAGTTCCCAACATCAGGGCGCCAAAACCCTAAATAGCAGTTTCCATTTTATTTTCATTATCCCACAAATCACCCCTATGTAACCTCAATATATACCCTATAATAACATGGAAGTTTCCATTTTCTCTTCCATTATCCCATATAACCCTATAGAAACCTCAATATGTACACTGTAATAATATAATGGTTTCCATTTTCTTTTCCATTATCCCAAATATAACCCCTAGTCCTGCCTTCGCCAGGTGAATGACCAGAGTGGAGCGGCACAGGACGCCAGCACAAAGGGGAAGGGCTAAGAGCCGGGAATGGCTACAAGAATGGAACAATATAGTAACAGTAACAGTAACAGTAGCAGTAATAGTAGTAGTGACAGTATCAGTAATAGTTTAGTAACAGCAATAGTAGTAGTAGTAGTAGTAGTCGTAGTAGTAGTAGTAGTAGTAATAACAATGATAGTCGTAACACTCACAATACTGTTGATGGAGGAAATCTTGCACCACCTTAAGTCGTAGAATCCTTAGGAGTTACAGTAGTTTATGTGTCCCAAGTGATGCAAGATTTCCTCCATCAACATCATAGGTAGTAGTAGTAGTAGTAGTAGTAGTAGAAGTAGTAGTAGTAGTAGTAGTAGGAGTAGGAGTAGGAGTAGGAGTAGGAGTAGTAGTAGTCGTCGTCGTAGTAGTAGGGGAAATACGAATTGTAATAGTAGCAATAATGCCTCAGGAGTGCTGCACTTTTTGATGTAGCATACTCCAGTATGTGAGCCATAGTCTAAACTCCTAGTATCCCCTTAATAGCCCCTATAGTACTCCCCTATATAATCCCCCATATAACCCCCTTTAAGGAGTTTAGATTATAGCTCATGTTATACTCTGTTATCTTGTAGTACTGTTAACCAAGTCATACTGTTTGTCTTGCCGCAAAGTTACCGTGCCAATCGCACGGGTTGTTCTGAGCTATAATTCACATTGTTGTTTCAGAATCCTACTGTTAGCCGCTCACACACTGTTCTGCTTGAAGCCCCATTTCCAAGTCGAAAGTGAGTGAGCCTCCACTCGGGATTTCTTTGGATGTTAGGCAACACTCAAGACTCACCAAGTAAACTCTGACGGTAGCATTCCCACAAATTCTTGTCCCGGATGCAAATGCGAGACTAAGGGCAGCTAACGCGGAGAGCCAAACGCAATTGCAAGTTGGCATTCACCAGCTGCCGAACTCGGCGCCAGTAAGTTTGCAGGGTCTCTTCATGGAAGTTGGGCAGCATAAGACATGCCTCCCAACACTGCACATTAGCGAGATTCGAAAAAGCCCTGACCCCTTATTGCCCTGTCAGCATCGGAGCATTCCGCACGGTTTTGCCGCAACAGTTCAACACATCATTGTTGAAGGTCTGCAGGACTCGGCTCAAAGCTGAGGCCATACACAGCCACCCACTCGCGCGATGCAAGTTATGGAGCTTTCGTGCACGACCATCTACTTTTTGCAGATGCCATCCACAACATCTGTGTTGGAAGCTGGAGAGGATGCAACTGCAGCTTCAACTCCAGGTCTCACGGATGTTGAGGGTCACCATGATCTCTGAATCTTGGCCATCCGGGCGCACCCAGAGCTTCACCACTAGGGCACCTAGCCAGGGGCATCAGCAAGGAGGCATAAAACAGTGAGTACTCACAGATGAAGCCACAGACCCTACTGCAATACTTCTGACGAGCAACACAAAATATCTTGCGCCGATGAGACTTGCAGACAAAATGCAGGCGTTACTGAAGACTCGACTGCAACCGGCCTTTCACCTTCTATCAACTTGTCGAAATCCTTTCGCGCATCACTTGCCTGCAACATCATGGACTCTAAACTTCACAGCCCACAGAAGCATGCCAGAAAGGCACATCTGAAAGTGCTCGCATGCTACTGACAAAGCAACCTGCTTTGTGGCCACCCAGGAAACTTACAAACAGACAGAGCGCTTCACGCTCAGCGATGAACCTGTTCAAAGGCAAGGTGTGAACAGCGGGCAAAACACATCGATCCCTAGCTGCTGCCGGACCTCACACAGCTTTTTCCTCGCCTGGCAAAATCCGAGCACGAGATACCCACTGGTGCTCCTGAACCCTTTCTGCTGTTGGCCTGTTCCCCGCCAGATACTGAGACCCCAAACCAGTTTGATGGAGCTTGATGCCAGGTGTTATGGCAGTTGTGGTGCTGTAGACGGCGTATCTCGGCAGGCTCTTGGACCAAATCTATGCAGGAGGGCAATTGCTAGCAAGGAAAAGGACCCAGCACTGGGCCTCAATTTGAGCTGTCAAACTGCACAGGCTGCAGGAAATCTACAGAGAAGGATTCCGTGTACCTACTTCACGCGCCAGGTCATGACCGCTGGCCCTTTGGGCTTCGAAACCTTTGAGAAGTAACCAGTCGGTGCCCTGAGCACGCTGTAGCGCTTCTCCGCCTTCTTCGGCAGCATGAAGTCAAGGTCCTTGAGCTGCTGACGGACGTCGTCTGGCATCTTCGCGTGGCATCCGGCTGTAAAGTACACCACGGAATATCGACTGCCTTCGAAGTCCGCAACCTCGTGTGCCATGTTGCCATTGAACAAGGCCAGATTCTTTGAGATGTCCAGTGTGTTCTTCTTCTTCTCGGGCAGGGTCTTCAGGCTCCCACTCTTGTCATCCTCCGGCCACACGGAGAGCTCTCCCCCCGTAAACTCTCCGAAAGCCTTGATCATGCTTGGCCCGAAGTTGTTGCCATCCCCTGGGCGGCTTGTGGACTGCCTAAAAATCGCTGTTTATTGTTTCTGGGCTGCGGGGCTCTTTTTGGAGGCCAATACGGTGGCAAACCCACACGGGGGACAGACATGCGATACAACATGACAAGTTTTCGTGCTCCATGGGACTTCGACTCACACTGGTGTAGCCAAAGAGCTTAGGATTTACTTTTGAATCTGAAGACCTTGGAGGTTTAGGAGTTACGATTCTGGAACAACAAATCTTGAAAAGATGTGTTGCTGAATGTGGCTGACTTTGAGTTGAAGGCCCTCCTTTTCCCAGTTTTAGGGCCCCTTGCGGGGTGTGCGATGTAACCCTTGAAGTTTGCTCTACAGGATCCCAGGAATTATCTCAGGATACTGCGGCTGAGAGGCTCAATAAAACAAGCTCAAACTGCCATCCTCATGGCCCAAACTCAACTTCTTTTCTAAAACATCTGCCCCAGTCTCTGTGGCGGCGTGCAGCATAGTTGCAGTTCAAATTCAAACTGGTGAACTTGAACTGCTTGGCTTGCTTCGGCAGCTTGCCATGCAGCCAGCGAGCCTAAGTGATCGTTGCCACGCTATTTGACATGACACTTTCCTGCGAGGCTTGGATTAAGGATCCCTAAGCATGCAAAATGTTTTTCAACAGTTGCAAAGCGGCAATCAGCTTGGCGACGTTCGGATACTCGCGCGCAGGTCTTGTCACAATCAGCCTGCCTTAGTCAGGTATGGCAGGCATATGCGGGCAGCCATACGCGTGGGTTTGAGATTCAGTCAGCGAACTGAAATTTGATAAGCACGGACAGGTAACCACACCAACAAAACCGTCGGAAAAGAAAAGAAAGGCTTCAGTTACTTTTGAGCCAGCTGCCACCTCGATCCCGCAGCAGGCCCAAGGTGTCGCTCTTCACGAACTTCTGGCCTTCCGGCATGACGTTCACCCTGAAAGGGTTCTTGGAGATGCTCCAGGCTTTCAGGATGTCCGTGACCTCTTGGGTGGACACAGCGCGTCGCTGCTTGGCGGCCTTCTTCAAGATCTCGTCCGCCTTGCGGTTGGCCACCAGCCGGTGGGCCCTCGCGACAAGCTTGGGGCAGGGAAAGTGTGTCAACCGTGTGGACCAAAAACAGTTGAACACCAAATCTTCGAACACATGCCAGACTTCACCCGAACATGTCTACACGTTTCGAACGACAAGTGCTTAAACATGTTGATGTTCAAATGACTAAAGCTTTCAGCATGTTTAGCCCGACCCTGCCTTACAAACACACTCTCCGTGCATCCTTTCTCCAGGGTCAGTTGCCATCGCTCCAATTTGCCTTAGCTGAAATCATCCCAGTCTTTCTTAATTGCTCGAGGTCGAGGTGAGAAAAGACAGACTCGGTTGCAGATCGGGGCACACCTGCGGCAGAGCTCTCTGATGAACCAGGATTCCAAGGCCTTGTCCACCGCACTGAGCTGGTCATCACGCTCAACCTTCGACCTAGGGGCTGCAAACCAATTGATGAGCTCCTGTCGCTAGACTATGCTATTGCTTGCTATTCTTCTTTGTTAGGCCAAGATGTTTAGATTCATGAGTAGTCCTGGAATAGCACTAGAAATGCCAGAACTGCGTTGCAGGGAACTACTGCTAGCTTCCGGCATTCAGTACATAGCTGGGTCGCGAAGGGGCCATGGCACAGGCTCGTTGAACCAATTCTATCGTGGTTGTTCTCATCTAGACTTGGATTCTTCATATATGCTCATTATCAATAGCACTCATGCACGACTCAACCTACATACATGACCTTTTTTCTTCCCTGTCGCTTTACAGGGCGTGGAAACTGCAACGATAAACCTATTACTACTATGACTACATTTCTGGTTACTATTATTGCTGTCATTAGCTGATGCACCCCCAACCTGTCAATCGGCTCGTCTCGGATCTTCCCACCAGTGACCTTCAAGGAAGGCTGCAAAGATGACTCATCCCAGGGTTGATGATGGCAGCATTAAACAATAGGATTATCACAAAATATCGAAAAAATAACATTAATACTGATACTGATAGTCATAGTAAGTAGGAGCCCGGACTTTCTGCTTACTGGCAGAGTTGGGTACAACGGGCCTTCTTTGATCGCAGAACGTGGAAGACATGTCACTCTAGATTCTAGGTTTCATTCATGAAAAGCAAGACAGCTTCGGTGACATTGAGACCAGCCTTGATAAAGCCATGCTCATAATCGTAAATCCAGTCGATGGGGTACGCACCAAGCGCCAGCGACTGGCCCACGGTCTTCGCTTTTGAGTACTTCTCGTAGCGCAGGTGGGACTTGGACCCAGGAGCCTTCGCAGGAAGAAGAGGAGTCGAATGAATCGCACTTGCCCGCAGGAACCATTAGAACTGAGGAGCACCGCATTGAGTGGAAACCGAGCCCTGGCTCTGCTCTTAAGGGCACAGCAATTCCTGAGACTCCTTTTGTTTCAAGGTGCACTTGGCAAGTCTGCGGGCACTTGCCCATATCTGAAGGCCCACAGCCGTGGGCAATAGATAGAGCACCGAACAGTGGAGCTACTGTGAATATCAGGCTTATTAAGAGACCCTCAACGGCGGGCATAAGGATCATTTTTGTGGTTTTCAAAAGTCCCAAAAAAGTCGCGCATGAACCACCTGAGTAATTCTGCCGTAGCTCATGTGACGACAGAAATCTAGCGGCACACGTTGAACTCCATGCAGACCCTTCCCTGCTATCCCCTCTTCGGTCTTTTTCCAGGTTACCCGAAGCCCAAATAGTGCGTGCTGCTGGGATGTTCGTACCACATGGGGCTATAGTCTATACTCCTAGTATCCCCCTCAATAACCCCTGAAATACTCCTCTATATAACCTCCTATATAACCCCGCTTGGGGAGCTTAGACGAAAGCTCACATGGGGCTTGCGTTATGAAGGTCTTTTGGAGGGACCAATTTCTCTTCAGGATTTACAGGATTTTGTGTGGGATCAGCTTGTTTTTGGGCTGGGAATTGTCAGGTTTAGGGGTTTGTGGGATTTCTGGGGCTTCTTTAGAGTGCTTAGGGCTGTAGGATTTAAAATTGGATGCTTTCAAGGGCTAATCTATGTAGGCATGAAATACGTCAAAAGCCGCCCATGCGAATGGCATCAGAAGGTCAATGCTTCTGGGCTGAATTTGTCTCATTATATTGCTCCTTTGAAGTAGTAGGATGGATATGGTAGTTTCCCAAAA